GGCTAGTGGGCAGGCAGGCAGATCTTTAGGCATCGCTGTCGTGCGCGATGAACGATTTTTATGGTGTTCATCTGTCGCAATTCCAAAAGAACAGCGCTTGCTGCGAAAAGACGCTTGATAAGCGAGAGGACAAGCGAAGTGAAAGTGGAGGTGGGAGTCCCATTTTCAAATTCCGGCACCAAAGGATGTGACGACTCATATTTCGATGGCGTTTGTTAGGACCTGCGATTGCGATGGCAGTACAGTTAGATGGGGTCGCCCTCGCTTAATGCGCGGCGTAGCCTAAACAGACAAATAAATCACACAAGTGCACGCCTAGAATTCTCGTGTGTTCACATTGTTTGAAAGAAACGTTTCAGTGCGTCGCTCCGTTGTTCTTAATCGGTGAACATGAAACTCGTCGTCTTTTTATGCAGCCGTGGTTAACACACCATGTTTCAAGAGGGAAAGAGACATATGGTAGAGAAAGGCAAAGGGGTAACCCAGGTAAATGTGATACTGCCAATTTCGTCTAAATACGAAAAAAGAAAAAGAAGCAGAAAAGCTTTCACGTCTGTGACGTCGCGTGCGCAGATTTTGGCGCGAAATTTAAAAGCCGGAACTATGACATTGTTTTTGTTTTCTTCCTATTGATTGATTGATTTGTGGGGTTTAACGTCCCAAAACCACTATATGATTATGATAGACGCCGTAGTGGAGGGCTCCGGAAATTTTGACCACCTGGGGTTCTTTAACGTGCACCCAAATCTGAGCACACGGGCCTCGACATTTCCGCCTCCATCGGAAATGCAGCCGCCGCAGCCGGGATTTGAACCCGCGACCTGCGGGTCAGCAGCCGAGTACCTTAGCCACTAGACCACCGCGGCGGGGCAGTGTTTTCTTCCTATTGCTAAATCTTACGGTGGCGAGGTTAACTAGTGCAGTGTTTTCCTAGTATAACTCGTCAGTCTAAACTGATTTGTTGTTTCACTTTAGCGCCCCTGGAAACTGTATTTTGAAACGCGTTTGCCTGGTTACGGTCGACCTTCTGTACTGAGACACTGCGAAACCTTGCAGGTCCTGTTCCGTGCGCTGTTTGAGAACTCGTGCACCGTTTATAAAGCACGGACACTCGAAGCTTTCCGGTCTCCTCGGAACAGGCGGATGTATCCTCTATCCTTTGTAATGTATGCATTGACGCACGGGTGAGGAATGTTTTTTTTTTTTTTTTTTGCCCTGGCACACGCAACACGCTTCCGCGCGGCCAGAGTTCCGAGGCCTTGCGTGTTTACTATAGGGGGTGATTACAAAAACTTCAAGCGGGAGCTTTCGAATTGTTGTGAAACGTCTCGCGCATCCGGTGACTGCGGTGGCCTTACGTTACGCAGAGATGGTAAACACAGGCAAGCGTTCTTGGGAATTTGCAAGACAAGATCGAGTGTCAGCGCTCACAAGCTTAGTGTTTTAGTTGACAATTTGTTTAAGGAAAGAAACTCGCTTATATTGAAGTGACGTATAATGAATCACTTTATGCATGGAATAGTTGCGAAATCTCCTGAATATGCTTTCGAATATGAAATCTTCGATTCATCGAATTCCCTGCATGTAGAATGTTTCGTGATCCGCTACTGATGCAGTGTATCCACCGCGTGTGTGTGTGTGTGTGTGTGTGTGTGTGTGTGTGTGTGTGTGTGTGTGTGTGTGTGTGTGTGTGTGTGTGTGTGTGTGTGTGTGTGTTTCGTGCGACTATTAAATTGTTCACTTGTTTTGTACCTCTTTATATAGTACCTATTGTTATATGGCATGTCGGTGACAACTCAAAATATACAATGATAGATGCGCATTTGGATGCTTCAAGTGGGGAACCTACGTGTTTCACTAGTTTCTTATCGCGATATGCTTGCGTAACAGTGTTATGACTCTATTACCCATGGCAACCTTTCGCCAACCCCCGACTTCTTTCTCTCTTATACCCCTGTCACACGGCCACCACCAAACTCCGTTGAACGCCGTCAACGTAAATCTCTCCTAGGGGGTTCGACGGAGAAGGAGTTGTGGCAGTGTTACACGGCATCGTGACGGCAATGACGAGGTTGTAACAGTTGCCGCGAGGGGGCTCAGCTGGCGCTGTTTGATTTTCGGAAAAGTATTCCAATTTGATCCCTTTTGATTTTTTGTGAATCCTCGTTATGCGGTTTTTACAAAAAAGCACTATTAAGTAAGTATGCGACTAACAAACCATCAAAAATAATTTCAAATAAAAACGCATTTGATAAATGTAGCAATGCTGCTAGTGACGCTGGCCACATTGTGCTTCTAGTTGTTTTGTTGCCTGTGTACATGCCCGGTACGAAAGTTCTTACGTTTCCTTGCCTCGTGAGCGCACATTTTGTGTTCTTCAGCCTTGAGTGACACAGCGGACGACGTGAGGATGTGGTGCGATATTGCGCTAATAATGACGTTGATCGGCTGGCGCCGGCCGGCCCGACTCGCGAGGCACGGTGTGTAGGGAATCGGTGTTGAGAGTAAGTGAACTCTGGCGGGCGTAAATATTGTAAACAAACACGCGTTATGAATGAGTAATACAACGAAAGAACGTTTAATATTGCTAAAATGTATTATTCTTTCACTGCGGCTACTTAGTGCTCGAAATTTTTCTCTAACCTTCAGACTGCTGAGGACGAGAGTACCTCGTTTTGCTGCGAAGGGAGATCGTTGAACGTCCTTTGCGAAATGCTCCGTTCACCTTCGTTTGCGTAAGGGTGGCCGTGTGACACCGACCGCATATTCGTTGTCGTAAAGACGAGGGAGTTAAACGGTCTTCATGGGTGCCCGTGTGACAGGGGTATTATACTGACACGTCGCCGCGTTGTGGCCGCAGCGTTCTATGGCATTTCCGCTTTGCAGTAATCGATGACGTGCGTCAGTCCTGCTAGTTCTGTCGCCGCGAAGGACAGCACCACGTGCGAGTTTAGCTGAACCTTTGCCTGTCGTTTTTTAAAAGACACTCAAGGTTAATATCAAGTTATTATTACTAACTTTTCCTTCATCGAGAAAATGACAACTGTGGACGTGAAGAGAAGGAAAAAAAACATGCAGAACGGAGCCTCAACAAAAAGGACTGTTGATGATGCAACCTTTTGACAGAGCTGATTGTATGCACGTGACGTCATAGTCACGTCATATATTGAAAGGCGTCTATACGTTCGTGTGCCTATCAGTCTAGTTTAAATTGAAGGAATGTGTTCAAAGAATGGAAGTTACTTTCCGAATTCTGATAACGTTCCTCAAACACAAATCGGGCAACTACGACACTTCGTATCGAAAAAAATTCACAACACTAATCGTTAACGACGCTTGGTTACGAAACGCCGTATTGTATTAGGCATTCTCAGCGGTGACGAATGGCTCCGCAAAGCTTCTCGATACCTGATCGACTGCATACTAGACTTGCACAAAAATAATAGTAAAATGACGGTGCGCGCACGTGGCTGAAAGGTAACAGCCGAAGGTAGGCGTATGGATGCCAAGGGTCGGTGGCTTTTAACGTTTAGCCCGCACCTTACCGCTGTATTTTATGGCGAACTGATATAAGCCAAGTTAATACGCGATATAAGTATCCAACTATACACCCGCATATTGCGCCCGAATGATTTGGCTGCAGCATCAATAAATGATAGAGTCATCGCCTGTCATCTATCGATGACTATGCATGGATAGTACGACATTTCTGTGTGTTCATTTCGTGTTTATCCCTAAGCTATATGAACCCATCCATAATATCGCGTCCATGTCGTGCGTGAGGCCAAACACGCGTAATCAATCGTCACTGGGACATGGGGCGCTTGGTGTGAATGGTTGAGTGAAAGACGCTATGATGTCTGATATATAGAGGGTTATCACGTGCCAAAACTTTTACTTGCAATGTGGACGCGGTACATTGGAGGACTTCGGATTGTAGTTTTGACTGTAAGAAAACTACATAGAAATCAGTTTGTACCAGGCTTGCATAATGCTACTTCTAAATCTAAGTTCTGAGGGCTTGAACTTATGAAGCAATGGAATTCTTCAAAAATTCGAAAAACAGTTAGGGACCTGTACGGTAGTATTTTCAGAGCTTACCGATACATCCTTCGAAAGACATCCATGAAAGTCTTGCGTGGTTTCACTTGGTCGCGGGTAAGACTATCCGGTGAGATGGCGCCATTTTTACTCTGGAGGGCGTTATGCTAAAGTTAATATAATGCGTTCGCGTCCCGACAGACTTTGGCTCTTGCTACCGCGTTATGCAAATAGTGCAGTATTTACGGTTAATTCCGTCTGAATTCCGGTTGCACGGCGGAATGAAACAGCTAGGCGGAAACATTGCGCAACGCGACAGAATGGAAAGACATAAATAAATAAACATAGATTGATTGATTGATAGATAGATAGATAGATAGATAGATAGATAGATAGATAGATAGATAGATAGATAGATAGATAGATAGATAGATAGATAGATAGATAGATAGATAGATAGATAGATAGATAGATAGATAGATAGATAGATAGATAGATAGATAGATAGATAGATAGATAGATAGATAGATAGATAGATAGATAGATAGATAGATAGATAGATAGATAGATAGATAGATAGATAGATAGATAGATAGATAGATAGATAGATAGATAGATAGATATCGATCATACAGGCACCAGGTCCTTACACGCCAAACCTTGCATACTCTGATTTTCTAGGTTGTGCAAGGGCGCATTCATTCTTTCTTCATTTTTTTTTTTTTTTGGAACGCATGCTTCGTTTCTCTTCTCCGTCATAAGCGTTGGTAACTCGAGAAGGCCGGGGTTACGGACAGGCGCATGTAATTTGGATTTTTTTCCGCCTCTGAGCCCTAAGGTGTTTGAAATTAATACGCCATTTTGGTGGTGGCATTTCGCTGCTCTCTGTGTGTGTGTGCTTGACGACGTATCATTGTGCGGCCTTTTGCTGAATGCTGTCGCTCGCTCTTTTGCTGCAGTGTCGCCACCCTCGTCGGGGCTGCAGCAGCCGGGCCTGGACGAAGAGCTGCTGACCGACGACCGGTGTCTACAGCTCATGCTGGCCGTCCGAGAGGGTCACATGACCGGAGACCAGGCGCTGAACAGGGTGGGTCTCGCCGAATGGTCGATCTTTGCGAATGGAACTGGGATGCAACGACGAAGAGCGCTACAGTTTTTAGCGTAGCTCACTCACTCGCTCACTCACTAACTAACTAACTAACCAACTAACTAACTAACTAACCAACTAACTGACTGACTGACTGACTGACTAACTAACTCACTCACTCACTCACTCACTCTTGTCTTGTATGTGAAAACTATAATTGTTCACGCATGTTGCATGGCCCACTTATTGAAGCACGTGGCAGTATCCTGTGGCACACTGCATATAGATAGATAGACAATTCCCTTGTTTAGCTTTCATCCTTGTCGACTGCAAGATCCTTACAACTAACGGGATATTTAAATGTAACTTATTCTAAGAAACTATCAGGACAATCGTCCTTTACCAATTAAAAAGGTGCATAGCATGGCATCGTTGACGTTATCCCAGGGCCAGTTCAAATTATGAAATTTGCAGATGACTGCATATTGTACCACGAGGTTGTTTGTCGAGAGGACTGGGAACTTTTAAGCACTAGCCATGCATCATATCGTTCATTCATGGTGCAAGCGATGAGACATGAAGCTAAATAAATAAAAAAGAAAACAGTATTTATGCATACAACGAAAAAAAGACATAGACGGTTGTTTTCTTACAGTCTTCCAACCAACTCTCTTGTTGAGGTGAATGAATATAAGTATTTGGGAGTGACCTTAACTAACAACCTCAGCTGGAATTCTCATATTAGTAACATTCATGCTTCCGTTCTTTTCGCAAATTTTGTATTCTGCGACATAAGCTAAAACAGGCGCCGCCAGAAACCAAACTTCTTGCACAGTGCTTGCACAGTGAAAAGCACCAATCAGGGCCAAATTGGAGTGCGCTTGCGCCGTTTGGGATCCTCACGCCAACCACAATATGTATGCATTTGAAATGCTTCGGAGCAAGGCTCTGGTAATTAGTTTTTCTAAATTCTGAAGCAACGGCAAACCGACAGCTCTCAAGGATAGTATACAATGGTGTGCAAACTTTGAAAATGTGACATAAAATATTCAGGCTTGAATTTATTTTTCTCCTTAAATGTAACAAACTATCGTTTCAACCAGCTCCGTATCTACATCGTTAGCAACAAGACTAACCAGACATTATCACTTTGAGTCCCTTACTTCATATCAAACAAGAACCAACACCTTCAAGTTTTCTTTTTTTTCTCTCGCACTTTTAATGAATAGAAGCACTGCCATTTTTGTTAATTGATTAAGTTCAATTGATGTACCAGATTACATTGTAATGTATAACGTTTAAGTGGAAATGTATGTGTCTGTGTGCTTATTTTTTGTTTTTATTTTTAATCTTATACGTTTTGTTATGTAATTGTGCCCTTCCTGTCTGGGCCCATGTTGGCCTGCAGTATGTTGTAAATAAATAAATAAAATAAATATTTGCAAATGAATGAACCTTTTATTCCGTCATATTAACGAAAAAAATTGTACGCGTTGTTACTTGCTGAATAATTACCTGCTAAACTTTGATTTAATCAACGTTAGTGTGTAAATATAGATGTTTTCAGCAAATTATGTCGTCTCCTTCTTCGAAGAAGTCTCCTCTGCCGAGACCGTATTCCATTGTATAGCTCACATCGTCTACGAAGAAATTAGCTCAGTTAAGATATCAAACCAAGTGCAAGACCAGTACAACTAACGGTAAATTCATATATAACTTAGTCTAAAGGATCAGCATGATAATCGTCCCGAACCAGTTAAAAATGTATATAAATAGCAGCTCAGGCACCCTATAGCTCAGGCATTCACGTACGACAGTGTCACATAGCAGTGTTCCTCTGAAGCTTGCTTTGTTTTCTCAGTCTTTGTTTTTCGACTCTAGGAGCAAGAGGGCACTGGCTTTCACTTTGAGCGAAAACAAAATTAATATAAATTGTTCTTCCGTGTCCCCTTCCCGCGCACTTTCTCTTTTCGCAGATTCGACAACGGGGCACCCTGCGATTCCGCAACAACCGAAACCGTGAAGAGGTGAGTGAACCTTGCCGGTCAATCGTCTTCGTTTACGATGCACGCAACCTGTTCGATGCAACACCGCTCGATCATATGGTGGATACACCGCCGCCGCAGCCTTCACAACGCAACGCCCACGCCAATCTCGGCGCCCACACCTGCGTAGCCAACTTTAAAATCAGGCCTGTCGTTCTCCAACCGCGCTTGCATTTTTCTTCAACGTTCACTGTTTCTTCTCTCTCTCTCTCTCTCTCTCTCTCTCTCTCTCTCAGTCTTCTGTTGACCCGTTGTCTCGTGCCTTTGACCCTAAGAGGAGGTGGTACGTGCACCACGTGACCAAAGCGTGCTTGTTGCGTGCGCCGGATCGCATCTCAATGCGCTCCCGCGATAGACTCGTTGGTTTGTTTGCACGTCATGCTCGAGGGGCTCGTTAATGTGTTTGTTTTATTATGGAGATTGCTTTTTTTTCCCTTCGCGTTTTCGATTCTCGCTTATCTTTCACGGCCTCCTTCCTCCTCGTTGTCAGCGGCGGCCGGGTGCTCGAAGAAGCGATAAGGGAGAGATATGACAGCCGCGCTGCTTCTGGTGAGAGATGAAAGGTCTCCTCCTCGGGGTGTGGTGCTGGAGAGATACGCGACCCGGGGGCACGCTCTAGCTTTCGCGCGGCCCCGTGTTCTTCTCGGATTGCGGATGTTGCGTAATACAAGCACGCGCCGGTGGGAGTGGGAACGGGTGATGCTTTCGTTTATGCGAGACGCATGCCCCGATTGTTTAAACTCACAAAGAGAAAGGGGGAGAGTGTGAGAGAGAATGCTGAGCGAGGGAGTGCACGAGTTGCTCTCTTCGCGGTATGCGGGAGGCCATTATTCTTTCCAGTTTTAAAGTTTATGGGAAGAAAGAGTCGTGTAAATTCACAGCAGTCATATTTCATGTCGGCAGCGAACGTGAGCGTCGTGTCTGTCGTTTTTTTTTTCTTTTCTCCGTGGGGCGCGTTCTGTGTTTGCGCTGGTAATTTCAGTTCAGGTATATGCTATAGGCATATTGTTCAGGTATCATCTAGGCCCAAGTTAAGTTTTATTAACGCGAACGTGGCGAAAAGATATTGCGAGGGCACACTCGGCAAAAAAAAAAAAAAAATCACAGCATCTCCACGGAGTGAATGATGATGAGGGGGGTGAAGCATCCGTCAGCCCGTCCGTATTTCTGTCCATCTGTCCGCTCATCCGTTCGTCCGTCCGTCTGTCCGACCGTGAGTCCGTCCATCCGTCTGTCCGTCCGTTTGTGCGTCCATCTGTCCGTCCGTATGTGCGTCCATTTAGCGAACACACCAAGTACCGCCATCTCGCATCCCTTGTGGCACATATTCGCTCTGCGCGTCCGTCCATCTGTCTGTCTGTCTGTCTGTCTGTCTGTCTGTCTGTCTGTCTGTCTGTCTGTCTGTCTGTCTGTCTGTCTGTCTGTCTGTCTGTCTGCCCGCCCGTCTGCCCGCCCGTCTGTCTGCCTGCCTGCCTGCCTGCCTGCCCGTCTCTCTGTCTGTCTGTCTGTCTGTCCGTCCGTCCGTCCATCCGTCCGTCCGTCCGTCCGTCCGTCCACGAACACTGCAAGTACCGCCATTTCACATCTCGCCATTCCTTGAGGCACATACCTGCTCTAGAACGGGTATGCGCCACTGGTGGCTACGTACACCAACAGAAGATGGACAGACACACACCCTAAGGTGCTTCGCCCCTGAAAGGAGGGAATGTGCGCGAGCGTAAATGTTCCTACTGCTTTGGAATAATGCTTATTTGCCTTTCCACGCCTGTGCCTGGAGTACGCTGCTTCGATTAGTGAAACAAAGACTGCTAAACATTTAGTTGCACATTCAGAAGCGTTTAAAATTGTTGCCACTGGAATGGAGTGGTTTGCATGATGGTACCGCGATTACTGTCGATCGACCACGCACATCGACTGCTTGCACTGCAGGTATATGACAAGAATAATGGGTATATGAACGGAAAAATTAGGTAACAAAGTTCGAGGAGACAGCTGCTATAAGATGTAGGGAAGAAGGTGTATTGGCACAAGTAGCAACCTGCTGTTATTAAGCGTTTTGGCATGTCTTGCTTGTTGACCGAGTTTCTCGAGAGATTTTCTTCCGCTATTCGGTGAGTAATCATTGCGACGTCAATTCGAGACCTCGCGTTACACAATTCGGGCGAGGAAGCGAGACTGTTTGTAGACTCTGATGTTTGCGTATGAATGAATAAACTTTATTTGAAAAGTCAATACTAGAAATCTCTGTAGTAGGGTGGATTACTATGGATCGAATTTTTCAATTGTGCTAGGAGATAGGTGAGTGACAGGGCTGTTTTTAGAGTAGCAGTCAGGCTATTCCAAATGGCGGTAATGTATTTTGCTAGGGAGGAACAAAGGACACATGACAGGCTAATGAAGTTAACCAGAATGTAAAGCCTAGTGTGCTGTCTTTCATTGACCAACATGCAGTTTTGTTTGTGATCTTTCAGAAGGTAAAGGGAGAGTGAAAGAGAGAATCAGGGGGAATAGGCGCACTATCACAGTGGGTCACTATTTAAGTTTGCTAGCACTGGGCGATAACATTTCTCTATCGCACGAAACAGTACCAGTGCAAGCAACATCCGCCTGGGCAGGCATGTAGCGCTAAGAGATTGCAAAAGTGCCTTTGCCGACTTCAGTTGCTGTGACTTAGGAGCTTGACACCAACTCAAAGAAAAAAAAAACGATGAGCATGTACCATCAAATAAACGTACACGTAAGATTACTATTGTTCTCCCTTTTTTGACTATCACACTGTGGTTCAGCGTTCAAGATTGCGTCACTGAATAAAAACGGAAATGGAGAAGGAACGTTTCCCTTTTACGAACTTGTTTCCGCCTCGTGGGGTTCTGCGAAACTTATTTGCTGCAGCTTGAATTCACTTTGGTTAAGGGTATCTTTAGCGCAGCCACGTAGACTGCGGGATATTAAAACAAAATCATTTCGCGTAACAGCACTTCAACATCTCGAAAAAGGAAAACAGGCAAAAGGAAACAGGAAAAAGGAAAACTCGCACTTTTTCAAATATTTAAAACGTTGTGAGCGTAAGTTGCAATGCTGCCTATGAAATTTGCTCTATTCTTCTATTTCGTTTAAAATGCTGTATTAAAAAAATGATGTACGCTTCCATTTGGGTAAGTACTTATTTGTTTATGTTGAATCCACGTTAAAGAACCCCTGTTGGTCGAAATGTTGCGGAGCCCTCTACTACGGCGTCTCTCATAATCATGTGGTGGTTTTGGGACGTTAAACCGTCCATATTCATCAATCGTTTATTTTGAATCAATGAGTTTCTCTATTAATGCATGAACTGTATGCACGGACGCGGCATCATTTGTACAGTGGCCATGTTAGAAACTTTCCCTTCACGCGTACGTGTACTACAGAGAATTTAATATCTTTGCAATTGGTTGTGTTCATCTTAATGTTTCTAGTCCGATTTGTGGCACAAAACCTGCTAGATGAACTTGACAAATTTCTGAGCCTGCGAGGAACCTTGATAAATCTACGTGGTGCCAAGGACTTCGTTTCAGTCATTTTTAGATGCGGAAGCATCTTATACTCGCGCCTTGTAGTGCGCCGTCCGCGCCGTCCGCACCGCTTCTCGAACATTCGACAGCTGACGCGCGCGCATGCGCCGCCGCGCCGTCTCCTCCTTCTTCCACCATCTGTGCATCCCTTCCTCCTCTACACACCGCGCGCGCTTCACTCCTCCACCATCTGTGCACCCTCCCTCCTCTACACACCGCGTTCGACATCTACAATTCTCCTGATTCTCCAGTGGACGCGCATGCACCGTCGCGCTTCGAGAACATTCAACAGCTGACAGTGCATGCGCCGTCGCATTGTATATATATATACTCAAGGTCGGCGCTCGCTCGCTCAGTTGCCGCTCGTCGGTTGGTTTTTACGGTTCGTCGACGTCCAAGGTCGCGGTGAAATGAATTCCAACGAATCCACAAACACAATGATCGACGTCCCTTCGACCAGCGCCGCCCTTTCGCATACGTGTGTACGTGTTCACTCATTTAACACCCCCTCCTACAACCACGTTAACCAATTTAGCCATCGACCCAAGTAAGTCGCAATTTAACACCCCATTTCACAACCACGTTAACCAATTTAGCCATCGACCCAAGTAAGTCGCACTTTAACACCCCGTTAACCAATTCTATGCTCCGCATCCTCCTCAGTGTTCCCCCGAGGGAAGCTGCGGGCAATTTTTTTTGAACACCATCGCTTTTCAAGTACCGCAGGCTCTGCTTTCTGCTACGCGTGAAAGAAATTCGACTGACACTAGAAACATGCATATCTAGCTACACAGCAGGCTTTCAGGGGACCGCATGAAATAATTTGTTTATGTGTGCACTCTAACCTTGAAATCTGGAAGGGCAATGCCGATTTTCTGCCTTGTTTATGGGACTGAACTACAAATAAAAGGCGATACTTCAGGGCTCGTTTTCATTTTTTCTTTAGATGCAATAATAATGAAAACGATTTGTAGAAACTCAATGTTAAGGAAGACTTTCTTTAGATGCAATAATAATGAAAACGATTTGTAGAAACGCAATGTTAAGGAAGACTCATTGTCTGACAGCACTCATTAATAACTACAAAGCGAATAAAAGGGAAAGGACAAACGCCCGTGTTGTATTCTTCGTGTTGTCCTTGTCGCTTCAAGCTCTTTTTGTTAGGTTAATATATTTGGAAAACCTCGTCACCTGCACAGCCAAGTGCTGACGCGTCAGACGCAAATGAATCAAACACAGATTCGTACAAATGTCCGCATCTTAAAGCCGTCATGTCAAATCAGTGCCTCGAGGTGCGAAAACGTGCCCGGACTTTGTACCCTATAGCTTTGCTGAGTCTTTAGTGGTACAAAAATATAGATTTAATGTTGAAGAAGCAACGCCTGCAACAGTGGAGCAATATCTTGGTTTATGCAACGCGAGCTTACGCTT